GGAGGAGGAGGAGGAGGAGGAGGAGGAGGAGGAGGAGGAGGAGGAGCCCCTCCTCCGTCGCGCCTCGGCCGTGCGCGCGGAGGGGGGGCCCGCCAGAGGATCGTCTGGACGCAAGAGTTGCCTCTTCCCCGGAGTGACCGTCGGTGCGGGCCCAATTGGGCCTCCCGTCGCGGAGCGCGAAGCGGTAGCGGCGGCCTGCGCGCCTGGTTCCGGCCCCGTCGCCCCCCTTCGCCCCCCGGAAGCCGCGCACGCCAGAGCACCCTCGCCTGGGGTCGCTCCTTCCGTGCAGCCGAGGGGGGGAGAGCCCAGAGAGCCGACGCGCTCCAGCGAACATGGGAGCGGGCGGTCCGTGGGCTGAATGGGGCCCCGGGGGCCCTCGCCGGGCCAGAGGCTCCTCCTCCTCCTCCTCCTCCTCCTCCTCCTCCTCCTCCTCCTCCTCCCTCTCCTTCCTCCTCCTCCTCCCCCTCCTCCTTCTCCTCCTCCTCCTCCTCCTCCTCCCCCTCCTCCTCCCCCTCCTGCCGCCCGCACTGCTCCTCCGGGCCTCTGCCGCTTGACCGGCCTCTGTCCTCGCCGGCGGGAGCATCAGAAAACAACTCAGGGCGAAACATTCGTCCTAGGGAGGTGGTCCAGACCTCCGGGGCCCACGCATCGACAGCAATGGGAGCGGCTCCGCCGCCGCGCTTTGGCCACACGCGCAAGGGGGGGCAGCCAGAGGAGGAAAAGGTTTGGTCGGGCCGAGGTATACGATTGAGGTGTGTTCGACTCCTCCGATTCGGTTTGATTCGATGTCGATGGCTTCCGCTTCCGATTCGATTCGATCTCGGATGTAGAGTCGGTTTCCGATATTCCTCACCCGAGGCGTTTTAGACTGCCGATTTCTGCCGATTCCAGTTCTCCCGACTTGGCTGCCGATTTCCGCCGATCCGATTCAATTCGACCGCCGACCCGATTTGTCGATTCGATTCTGAGCTCTCCTGTGTAATATCGAGGTCGCTTTAGGGATGGCATCCGAATGTCATTCGTGCTTGTTTGATGTGTTTGTGCATCCTGGGGAGGGTACCCTTGGATGCTCTGAGTGCTCTGGCCGGCGGAGGGTCTCATGTTCTTGAAGGACGTTCTTCTGGCCTGGGTCCGACTGCCTCCCTACCGCTACCCTCCGCCCATCTTCCCCCTTTTGGGCCTCCTGGGAGTCCCTCGTCTCCACCGCTGGATACGCCTCGACATTATGGCCAGAGCGCACCCCAGGAGAGGTCCCCGGAGTAGCGGTATGGGTACCTTCTGGTTTCCCCAGGTCGGGGGAGGGGGAAGGCTTCTTCGAAGCACCCTGCTTCTCAGAGCGCGCGGGCTTTCATCGCCGTCGTCGCCACGGCCGAATTCGCCCCGAAATTCTGGTCAGAGCGCACCCCAGGAGAGGCCCGGGGAGTAGCGGTATCGGTGAATTCAGTTAGTCCAGAGTGCGTCTGAGAAGAGAGTTTTAGCCACGCGTTGAATTGAACAGCCTGATAACGAGCACAGCGACGACGCGCCCGTCGCGCAGTGGGACTGAGTTGCCAGACGCATCGTGCTCATCACGGATTGCAGGCCTATTGCTGGCGCGGCCAATGGATCTACCGGGTTGTCAGCGCTTTCCCTCGGTGTTGCCTCCGCTCGCACTGCCCAGAGCTTTTCAATACAGTCGCATCTGGAAGATGACCGGTGCGATTGGCAATTCCCATCCATTGAAGTGCCACGGCCAAGCGCGATTGAATTATGAACGCAGGCTACCTGGTCAGCTATACAATGGACTCGGAGAAATCGCGTGATCAGCAGTTCCCGAAGGATCCGCTCGATCGGAGCCGAACGAGCCATCTGATCCACAGCGACGGCGGCAGTCGAGCATGGTTGCGCTGTGCAGCCGCCTGGCGCGTTGAGGCTGGGGCGCGCCTCGGTTGAATGGCGCGTGCTCGCCTGCCTTGTTTGGGCCGGGACTTTCATCGGCGAGCGAGGTTTCCCTTTCACAGCGGAAGCGCTTGCCTCCGAGGAGGCGGTGCGCGCAGTGGCGGAACTGAATTGTAAGGTCAGATACCGGCCGTCCCTGACCTGATCTAGGCGACGGAAAAAATGAGGGAACGGGCGGGGAAGGAGAGGGAGGGAGAGGGGGGGCGGGGGGAGGGATGATGGTGGAGGGAGACGGGGGAAGGGAGGAAGAGGGGGGGAAAGACGGGGGGGAAAAAGCGTGAGAGAGTCGCGGTTGAGGGAGGGGATGGATGGGGGATGGAGAGGGGGAGGGGAAGGGAGGGTCAAGCAAGGGAGGAGGGAGGATTGATGAATGAGGGGGATGGGGGGGGGGAGGACAAGGAGAGGATAAGGGGGGGGGAGAAGAGGGAGGAGGATGGAGGAATGGTGGCGGGAGGAGGAGGAGGAGGAGGAATTATGAGGAGGAGGAGGAGGAGGAGGAGGAGGAGGAAGAGGAGAGAAAGGAGAAAAAGGTGGTGGAGGAGCAGGAGGAGGAAGAGGAGGTGGGTCCGCCAAGCTGCCTACAGGCTTTCCGCGGAGGCTCATTTTCCTTCAAGGTTGAAGTGGTCATCGGGTAACTTCCGGAGAGAGGGATCATCTATCCCTTGGTGTATCGCGACACGCTTGGACAAGTGCCCAGTTGTCTCTTCAACAATAGGCCACGTTTGCAGGTGGATGGGAGAACATGGGGGGGTGGGGGGCAGAAAGGAACATGATGGAGGAGGATGTGGACACGAAAGAGGAGGGAGGATAATGTAGGACGAACGCGGGACGCGGGGGAGCACGAGACGGGGGGGTTTGCGGACAGGGGGAACGTTCAGCGGGATCTGGCTTTTTCTGTCGAATTACTTGGGGTACACATATATATAGAGAGAGGTACATACATATATATATATAGATGCACGGGTGTAATTATATATATACACATCTGTATATATTTATATATGTATATATAGACACGGGAAAACAAGAGGGAGGCTGGACAGTGTAGAACGCAAGGTGGATGGGGGATGGATAAGGATAGGGTGGTGGAGTATGAGGGGGGACGGCGATGGAGGAACGAAGGGGAGCAGGACGCGGAAGGATATGCATGATGATGAGGAGGATGAGGATATTGATGATGATGATGATGATGATGATGAGGAGGAGGAGGAGGAGGAGGAGTAGGAGGAGGAGGAGGAGGAGAGGAGGAGAGGAGGACGGGGGGAAAAGGGAAGGGAGGAAGGGGGGGACTGGTGTAGGGTCCGGAGAGAGGAGGGAGCACGACGAGAGGACGAGGAGGAAAGAGGGAGGAGGAGGAGGAGGAGGAGGAGGAGGGGAAGCATGAGGGAAACACGTCCCCCCCCTCCTCCTCCCCCCTCTCTTCCTCCTCCTCCTCCTCCTCCTCCTCCTCCTCCCTCCTCCTCCTTGCTCCCGTCCTCCTCCTCCTCCTCCTCCTCCTCCTCCTCCTCCTCCCATTCCCTTCCTCGCCCCGCCCAGGCGCTGGCCGAGGAGGCGTCGGCAGCGCGGCGGGGGGCGCTCGAGTCCCGGGAGCGCCTGCGCTCCGATGGGGGGGACGCTCGGGGGGGGGTGGGGGGTCGCCGGGGACGGACGGGCTGCCCCCCTCGCCGGGTGAGGGGGAGGGGGAGGGACAGAGGCAGAACGAAGGAGAGAAAGAGAGAATGAGAGAACGAGAGACAGAAAGAGAGAGATACACACACATATAGAGAGAGAGAAGAGAGATAGAGAGATAGAGAGCGAGAAAAAGAGAGAGAGAGAGAGCGAGCGAGATAGACAGAGCAAGGTCATGGTGCAGCAGGGCGTGATGGTGGCCTCTTCCTTCCACTCGCCCCCCCCCTTCTTGGAAACGGAGGCCAGGTCCTCAGGTGGCTTTCGGGGGGGGGGCCTCCGCGGCGGCGGGCGCGCGCGCGCGCCCGCAGGCGCTTGTGCGGATTTGGGCGCGCTGCGTGGCGCTGCGGCAGGCCGGAGAGATGGAGGAGGAGGCCAGTTAGGTGCGCTCGCACCAGATCTGGCAGCACATCCCTGCCATCCGTGCCCATGTCCAATTGCGGCGGTGCGTCTCGATCCGTGAACGCGAGGCACAACCGACTTGGCCTGGGATCCCCAAGAGGGCCTCATCGTGTTGTGCGCCATCGGAAGGAGGAGAGCTGCTCACATCGGAAGCGGAGAACGAAGGGGAGAACGAGGAAGATGTGGCGGTGGCATGGTGAATGAGCGGATGGGCAGGAAGAACAGGAGGAGGACGAGGAAGGATGAGGACGAGGACGAACGGCAGAGGAACTGGAGCGGAAGGGGTGGGAGGAGCAGGAGGACCAGGGGCACATGGAGGAGGTGAAATGAGGGGGCGACAGCGATGAGCAAGGACGGGGATTCTCAAACATGGACCGCGCTGGGGCGCCCGATCGCTATTTTGAACGACGGGAGCACGGCGCCCATCCGAAGATGGGGCCCGCGCTGCAGCGTCGACGCCGTTTCCGAACACCGAAACAATCGGATGGTAAAGGCACATTGAAGAACAACTGCTGACACAGTGTGTAAAAATCTGTACGCGGACAGGGCCGACCATCTTCCACGCAACGTCAGGGGGGGGAGGGGACTAGAACTCACAATGCCTAGTGCTGGAGGCTCTCACGACTCCAGATTCAGTTGTCTCTGCGGAGGAATCCACGGCATGGCATGCGTGGACAAGAAAGACGGGCGCAAAGACGGGCGCAACAGGTTGCCGCGCACCCCCATATGGAGGGCGCTCTAGTCGAGGGACCGACTGGCACCCCGAGCGCCCTGCCTGTGGCGCCCACGCAGTACGCGACAGAGCGCAGGTGCATGCCAACCGTGTTCGTTGACATGCCATCCGCCGTGTGCGCACCATCGCCGCGTTGGAAGGAGGCCAGTCGCCTCCAACGGTCCCGGATACAAACTGGAAGGGAGGGGCGAATGGCGAATTTGGACTGGACCTTGGGCGTTTCCTTGAAGCTTCCTTTTGCATATAATGTGTTCGCGTGTCTGGTCGTTGAACTACCCTTTGGAAGAAGACGCTTGGAGGGACGTCGATCTTCTTGACCTAAAAATGTTCTTAACTCTCCAAGCACGGGGTTACATGCGACCCTGCTGCCAGTTCAGACACCCTTTGGCCGTCTCGCCCGTCAGATCTGCGATGGTGCCATACAGTCGGGGCGCTGAAGAAGAAACCCTTCTCGTTGGCGAGGGGCTCGGTGTTCCTCGATAGTTGTACAGTTTGCCTTGGGTTGTCCTATCGTTTTACATGGGAAATCTAAACTCAATTTATGGGAACAACGGGCCTCGTTCCTTTATTTAGGGTTCCTTGGGTCAACGTCCCGACTGTACCCGTCTACCTTGTGGTACTGCGCTCGTCCCCTGTCCATCTCGTTTGTGGTGTTCTGAACCCTTTGCGCCCTGGGTCGCGCGCCGGACGCATCCCGTCTCTGTGCTCATTGGGCGTGCATTGCGGCCCGGATCAGCAGGTCGACCCTGCCAGATCAAGGGTACCCTCGTGTCCTGCGTCTTGCGACCCATGCCTCCTGCGTTCCCGTGGCCGCGTGGCCCTCGGCAGGGTCGTGTGTCCTCTCGCGTGCCCTCTCCAATATTAAGCCCAGCTGCAATGTGGAGCGATATACCCAGACCCCCGACGTCATGATTTTTTCATGACGTCGACCCCCAGAGGTCTGGACCCCTTCCCCGGGACAGGTTTTTCGTCCTGAGTCGTTTTTTGACGGTCCCGAGGCCCGGGAAGGGCCTCCAGAGGGCGAAAATAGCGAAAAACCTCCCGTCGTGATTTTTTCACGACGCGAGGAGGTCTGGGTACCATAGGGGGGGGGGGGGGGAGAAGGCCACATGTCACGGGCCGGCCCGAAGGCCCCCTTTGGGGGGCCGCAGAGGGCGCCCCTTCCTGGTAGCCCCGAAGGGCCCCCCCTCTCGGCGGCCTGCGCTGCCCCCCAGCGATCGCCCCCCGCTGGCGCGGCGCCCAGGCTCGGCTGCATGCCGCGCCGCGCGCCGCGGCACGGGCCAGGCCGCACCTGGAGCCCAACCGGTGCCCGGACCAAAAATGTGTCCACACCCATCGGGGGCGGCAAAGAGGGGGGTGATGACCAGGGGGGGGTGGATATCATGGCGGGGGCCATGATATCTCGGATTTCATGGCGCCTCTTCTATTTCATTACGTCCCGGGCCCCCCCGCTGGGCCGCCCACGTGCCGCCGGTCATGATTTGCACCCCCCCCCCTCTTTGACGCCCCCCTCTTTGCCGCTCCCGAACCCAGGGCGGGAACGCGATCTTTGTGGGCCCTGGAAACGACAGGGCCGTTTTTTTTGCCGGTTCCGTGCTGCCGTTTTTGTGGCCGGTTCCGACGCCGTTTTTGTTGCCGGTTCCGTCGCCGGTGTTTGTACGGGTTCCCGCTCCGGTTCCACTCCTGCATGGAGCCGTTTTTGTTGCCGTTTCCGGTCGCCGTTTTTTTGCCGTTTCCATTTTCAAGGGACCCTTTTTTCGGAAACGGTGAAAGAACGGCTCTGCCGTTTCCGGGGCCCACTAAGAACGCGGTGCCCGGACAAAACGTGCCCACACCCAGGGCGGGAACGCGACGCAGCAGGGTTAACAAACACCACCACCGCGAAAGGCCCTGGCCTCGCACCCCTCCCCCCCTTGGCCTGACGCACTTTCAGATCGCGCAAGGTCTTGGCGGGACAGGTGTGGACACTTCTGGTCCACCCACCGGAAGTCCTCGCCGGCCGGGTCAGCACCCCGGTCGATCTCCACGCTGGCGTGCTGGGCGTTCGCCCGGAGCCAGCGTTTCCAGTTGCTGTGGCCCCCCTGGGGGGGGGGGGAGCGACGTGCGCGCGCCGCGCTCCCCACTTGCTCGACGCATTGCTGCAGGGCCTTCTGCTTGCCTCCGACCACCATGCTCATGCCGAATTTTGGCGGGCGTTTGACCTCTGCCTCGTTGGTCTTGCACCGGTGGTGCCCAAGCGCGATCTTCGCCCACGAGTCGAAGTCCTGCGCACGAGGTCTCCAACTCCAATGGCGCGCCTGCTTTCCTCCGCGAGAGGAGGAAAAGGGGGAGGGAGGACGCCGGGAAGCGCGAGTGGCAACGGGGAGGGGGAGAGAGGGAGAGAGGGAGAGAGAGGGAGAGAGGGAGAGAAAGAGAGGGAGAGAGGGAGAGAGGGAGAGGGAGAGAGGGAGAGAGGGAGAAAGTGAGAGAGAGAGAGGGAGAGAGTGAGAAAGAGAGGGGGGAGGAGTCGTTTCGCAAGCGTGTTGCATGCCAATGTTATTTTCCGAGCAGGGGCAGTGGTTCCAGCTGGACGTGTCGGTGCTGAGAATGGTCCCCACCAGAAGGTTGGAGGCTGTGGAGGAGGAGGAGGAGGAGGAGGAGGAGGTGGAGGTTGGGGAGTTTGATGAGGAGGAGGATGAGGAGGACGGAGGAGGAGGAGGAGGAGGACGGAGGAGGAGGAGGAGGAGGAGGATGGAGGAGGAGGAGGAAGGAGGAAGAGGATGGGGAAGGACGAGGAGGGAACTATTTATGATGAGTCAAAGAGGATCTCGAGGCGAAGAGACGCAGTCTATGGATCAGGAGAAGCTGGACAATGAAGAAAAAGGGGTGGTCCATCGGTAAGTGCTCGAGCGCGCCCGCCGATACCAAGAGAGAAGGAAGAGGGAGGAGCAGTGTGGAGGGAAAGGACGTTGATGAGGAAGGAGCAGGGTGAATAGGAAGGAGGAGGATGGGGAGGGGGAGGCGGAAAGAGGAGGGAGGGGCAGGAATAGCAGGAGGGCCACGAGAACGACGACGAGTAGGACGCCTGCTCTGTACGCAACAGCATCCGGAATAACTGGCCCGTTCCTCCAGCTTCCACCTGGCGCCTCCCAACTCCTCCCGTCCTTGCTGCTGCCACTCTCCTTCCTCCTCGTTCTACCCTCGTTCCTCCTCGTTCACCCTTCCTTCTCACCCCTTACGTCATCCTGTTTGCTCCCTCGTTCACCGTTCCGTCCTTTTCCTCCTTCTTCCTTCGCTCATGCATTCTCCCTCCCTTCATCCTTTCCTCCCCTCCTTCTACTTCACCTTCTTTCTTCGTTCCCTCCCTTGCATCGTCGTCCGCTATTCTCATACAGGGTGCAATCAACATGTATATGCGAAGTCAAAGCAGACCTCAGGTGCGCGACGCTGAGACGATGTGCGCCACCTCGGCCCCCACCAGCCTTGTCGCAAACCAATGCGCAAGCGCGGCGGAGGGGCCATCGTGTTGCGTGGTGGGTCTGCGCACAGCGGGCAAATGCATCGGCATCCCCGCCGCCCCCGTCAAGAGCCAAGGCGCAGTGATGGCGGGGTGCAACCGCCCGAGCGTGGTCCAGAGCAAGCAGCGAAGTGCAGTGTGGATTGCTTTTTGACAGGCCTGGTGGCCCTGCGCGCAATTGGCCATATGCTGGCACCCCCGCCGCCCCTGTCAACTACCCTGCGACATGCGCACCCAACCCAAGTGCATTGTACAAGCGGCAAGAGGAGCTTGTCCAGGCTAGTCTGGCTGACGACAAGACAAGAACTGTCGCTCGTTGTGCAAGCCACGTGGGATGCGCGCGCATTGCACGACCCACTGGACAGAGACAACAGAACGAGGAAAGAGGCCCCAGGCAACAGAACGAACAGGATGGGAGCGGGAGCGATGGGCAAGAGGAAGTCGGAAGGGAGGCCTAAGAGCCCACACTGCAACGAGCAAGGCTCAAGGGTGGGCATCGAACCTCAACTTTGGATGATGTTGAGCCTCTGGGTTCTTGCAGCCCCCAGGGGCTCTCCTGGATTCTTTGTGGGTCCTAGGAGCGCCCCAGGACGGCGAGGAGGAGGAGGAGGAGGAGGAGAAGGATGAGGAGGAGGAGGAGGAGGAGAGGGAGAAAAACGACGACGACGGCGACGGCGACCGCGACGACAATTTCGACGTCAATGACATCGGCGACGGCGACGACGACGACGACGACGACAGTGACAGCGACTGCGACGACTCCGACGGCGGAGGCGACGACGGCGTCGACGGCGGCTGCGGCGGCGGCGACAATGACGGCGACGGCAGCTGTCGCAGCCGCGGCGGCGGCGGCGGCCCCGGTGGCCTCCCAGGAGCTGGAGGCGTCCGCCGCGCGGCAGCTCGAGGCGCACAGAGAGCTGGAGGCAAGCAGGTCCGCCGCGCTCCGGGAGGAGCACCCGCCCGCTCGAGCTCGTCATCCACCTCGTCCTCGTCCTCCTCCTCCTTCTTCTCCTCCTAAGGTTCCACCTCCTACTCCATATCCTTCTCATCTACCACCTCCATCCACTCCTCCATCCTCCTCCTCCGTCCCCCTCCTCCATCTCCTCCTCCTCCTCCTCCTCCTCCTCCACCTCCTCCTCCTCCTCCTCCTCCTCCTCCTCCCCTCCTCCTCCTCCTCTCCTCCTTCCTCCTCCTCCTCCTCCTCCCCCCCCCTCCATCCGCATCATCCGTTCCTCCTCCAGCCCCTCCTTCTTTCTCTCCTGGGGACAGAATTCAGAGGATGTCTCAGGTGAAATGCTTTTTTTCACCCCTCCCCTCCTCCATCCACGTCCTCCCATATCTCCACCCCCCTCCTCCATCCCCTCCCCGACCTCCACTGCCAAGCCATCCACGCTTTGGACATTTTGGTGCCCTTGTGGTCTGCTCTGAGCTGCCGTGCAACGGTCGCACTGGTCCGCGGCACTCCTGTGCACACCTCTTGTGGTCATGTCGTGGTGCTGCTGGTGGACCTGTGAAGACCCTCGGGGAGACTGCCGGCGGTCTCTTGCGTTCGCAGGCGTCCAGACGACGTCGTCGTCGTTCGTCGTCGTGGCCGTGGTGGTCGCCGATGGCGAACCTTCGTGTGCGCGGCCGCCCCAAGCCCCCGCCGCCCTCCTCGTTGCCGGCTCCCCCCTCGCCCGCCCGCCGCCCCCGCCGCCCCCCCCCCCCCTGAGGAACGCACGCGGCGTCCCGGGCAGCGTCCCGATCAGCGTCCCTGTGCCGGCCGCGTCCCGGGCGTCCCGGGCGGCGTCCCTGGCGGCGTCCCCAGCGTGTCCTGCGTGTGTCCCGGGCGTCCCGGGCGGCGTCCCAGCCGTCCCGGGCGGCGTCCCGTGCAGCGTCCGGGGCGACGTCCCGTGCAGCGTCCTTGGCAGCGTCCCAGGCGTCCCGGGCGGCGTCTGGGCAGCGTCCCCCGGGAAAACACAACGCTGTTACTGCTCCTCCTCCTCCTCGTCCTCCTCCTCCTCCTCATCACTCCTCCTCCTCCCTCTCCTCTCCTCCTCTCCTTCCTAGTCAGTGTCGGCCTCTCTTGACCTCGATCTCCGTTCTCAGTTGTTTGTGTTTCATGGTTCTGTGCTCATGCTGCCCCTGCCTGCTATGTTCAAGTCTCTCTCCCCTCGTCCTCATCCTCCTCCTCTGTTCATCCTTCCCCTTCCTCACTCTCCTCTCAGTGTCGCTGCTCTCTGACCCTCGATTCGTTTCTCAGTTGTTGTTCATGGTTCTGGTGCTCCCCCCTGCTGCTTTGTTACTACTCCTCCTCCTCTCTTCCTCCTCCCTCCTCCGTCATAATCCTCCTCTACTCCTACCCACTCCTCCTCCTCCTCCCCCTCCTCGTCAGTGTCGAGCCTCTCTTGACCTATGCCTCCTCTTACTCTATCCGCCTCCTTCTTCCTCCCATCGTCCAACGGTTCTGATGTTCGTCATCCTCATCAGCATCATCATCAGCATCAGCATCATCGTCCCCATCATCATCAGCAACAGCATCGCCAGCATCAGCATCATCATGATCCTCCTCCTCCTCCTCCTCCTTCTCCCCCTTGTCTTCCTCCTTATCGTCCTCCTCATCCCCTTACTCTTGAAACCATACTCTTCGAGTGGCGGCAGGAGGATTGGTAGCAGTGGCGGCGGTTGTGATTGAGGTCATTGAGCACACGATACCTTCCTGGAGGGTGGCGGTTCGCGGCCTCGGTCGAGCACGTGCGGTTCCACGTCATGGTTGGTGACCTCCGGCGTCCCGAGGGCGGAGTGGGCCAGTGCCGCGCCGCGCCGTGGTGCCATGCTGTCACGCAGTGCCGTGGTGCCGTGCCGTGGCGCGCGGGGAGTGGCGGTGCAGCGCCGCGCCGTGGTGCCGCGCCGTCACGCAGAGCCGCTGTTGGCCGTGCCGTCACGCAGTGCCGTCGCGCCGTGTCTTGGTGCTGTGCCGTTGCGCGCAGGTGGGTTGTGCGCTGGCCTGCGGTCCGCCTGGTTGGGGCGGTGTACAAATACCAGCCAGGAACCCTGTCCAGGGTGGTGGCCGAGCTCCGCTCGGCAGCCGACGGGGTCGGTCCCCCGCCCGCCCTGGGGTGGGGACGTTGGGGTTGTGAGCTGGCTGGGCGGTGTCTTCGGGAGGCGCTCGTCCCCACAGGGCCCGCCCAGCAGCGCCGTATGCGCATGTGGCATCAGAGGGCGCGCAGCCACGCCCCAGAGCCACGGGGGGCCAGTCCTCCTCCTCCACATTTGTTCTCCTCCTCCTAGTTTTTTTTCTCCTTCTCCTCCTCCTCCTCCTCCTTCTCCTCCTCCTCCTCCTCCTCCTCCTCTTCCTCCTCCTCCTCCTCCTCCTCCTCCTCCCCTGATTGGCACCACCCGCTTTGTTTTGGAGTGGATGCCGAAAGTGGCTTCGACACTTATGCAGGATCTGCACGTGTCTTGACTGCCACTTTCATATCCCAAGCTGGCACTGCTTGTTCCCAACCCAGACATCACCAGATCCATTGTTGAGCAGGTCCCTGACCTGAGCGAGGCACCCTGAGAGGTTGCTCGCAATCTCGGTGTTGACTACACCCATCGCCCCAGCAGGGGTCTAGCACGCTCTGTGTTGAAACACCGTTTGGAAAAGGTGAGGAGTCGTGCCCTGCGGCTTGCTCAGTTGCGGATGAATGGCGAGTGCAATTGGTGACAAAGGCGTCCGTGCGTCCCGTCGCCATGTATGGTACTCATGCCACTTGTATGTCTACAGCAAATATGCACGAAGTGCGCAAGTACTACCATATTGCTGTGGCGTCCAGACAGCATCGCTCCATAACCACGGACATGGCGCTCGACAAAGTTGTGCACCCTGCAGTCCCTGGACACACAGAAGTCATTATCATGTGGTGCGCATGCCGATGGGATCGCATTTTGCCGGAAGCGATGCTTGATGAAACCATGAGTTGGGCGTGTCTGACTGTTTTGTCCATTGCCCATTGGCACGATCTTTATGGCCCTGCTTCCGCTGTTGTTGCCACGTCGATTTGTCTTGGATGGTTTCTCCAGTCTCCGACGCTGTGGAAAGGTCCGGCAGGACACGTGATTGGTATCTCTACGACGGCTCCCAGAGACGTTGAGACAATCATGGCCAGAGAGGCCGAAATATGGGCAAGGCGCCAATCAGCACCTCAGCATCCTTTTGATGCAGCACCTGTCAGGGACTCCACTCCTGAACCCCATTCGGGCTATCCTGGAAGAGGGCGTATCTGGGTGGACGTTTGCGCAGTCTCAGGCTTTGAAGGCTGTTTTGGCTCGCAGTCTACATCTACGGCTGTGTTGTTCGCTTTGTCAACACGTGTCTCATAACCTTCGAGAAACTACTCATCACTTGATCATGGGCTGTCCTGCGACGTACCCATTTCGACGCGATTTTGGTACCCCGGAGCGCATCAAGCGGGTACAAGATAACCACCCGCACGACCTTGTGTGGTATGCTGCCCTTGTCTCCGACGCAGAGCGTCTCTTTCCCTTTCCCTCAGTTGAAATGGAGTTGGAGTGGGCGAAGGTGGGGTCCAGCGCCAAGTTTTTACGTCCCCAGCTCTGGGAATGGTTCAGGATTGCACGGACCCTCACCCCGCACAATAAGGTGCGGGCGATCAGCTTCGGTAAATCCAACGGGACATCCCACTACTGTTGCTTATGGAGCTTATCCAAGCCATGTGCAATGTGTTCATGACGCTGAAACGTTTGCCCTTTTGGTGTATCTTCGGCATAGAGCGCCCGGAGATGATCAAAACTACCATTATCATTATGATTGCCAGTGGGTGGTGGATACGTGGTCACTCCCTCCGAGTGCGTCGTGCAATGGCATGTGCATGCACGCTGGTCTTTGGAAAGCTAGTCACGATAAGCCGAGCGACATAGGCTACGAACACATCCACATACATAAGGTCAAATAAGCATTTATCAGAGCAAACTGACGAACAGCCTGTGTGATGTACTCGGGCGAATGCTGGTGCAGACATGTATGCTAAACGTGGATCTGCACTCCACGTGGTAGATGACGATGCCCTGACGCGCATCAAGCGTAGCACAGTAGTTGTCACTATCATTGTTAAGTTTATTGCATCTGTAGTGTCCAACGCCTTGAAGCTGTCCGAAATGTGTCCATCCCTCCTCCCTCAAGTGGGGCCTCCTGTTCCTGGGCTAGTTGTCCTGGCCCCTCCCCAGGCTAAGAGGGGCCACGTGTCTCTCATCATCTTGATCCCTTCGGGAAGGAGCCAATCCAATCCAATCCAATCCACCAAGTCGCATAGGACACGACAGTTTCGAGGTTTAGGTACATAGCCTGCTGGGCTTCCAGCCGCTATCAATTCATTATTCCGAAGGCGGAGTGCCGAGCCCCTGAGGGCTATGGCCACGTGCTCCGAGCATGTGGGCAGTATGTATTCTGCCGCGCTCGTGGGTACTATAGTGCGACCGATATTCACACATTGCAGAATGTATGCCTACAGCGTCCGCGGGCTGATTTTACCAGACGTAGGCATGCGCGTCTGATGGATGGCCGGGACCCCCGTACAGATCAAGACCTCGGGCGAGTAACGATCCCGTGCCCACAATTGTTTGACGATCTCAGCGGGTACGGGGCTCATAAATATATATATATATATATATATGTATCCCCGTTACCTCGGCATGCCAATACTTATGTATTATATGGCTCGGTGACGAAAGCGGGTACTGAGCGCACCAACTCCGTGATATTCAGGAGTTTGGTATTGAACATGCGGAATAAGGGTGAGAATTTCTGCCCTGACGATTTCCTCTGTGGTACACCCGCAGAGGCGGCTTTAGTGCCACAAGGGGGGCACGATTTGTCCGCCCCAGCGCGTTCTCGTTGACGATTTGGGGGAGGAGTATAACAACGCAGAACACGATGCGTGTGCAAAGTTCCGCTGCCATGCGCTGGCCCTGCCGAGAGTGGCCGCAGATTGTATGCGAGATTCGCGCAGCGACAATGAATGCTCGGGCGAGCGCTCGAGGAGGAAGAGGAGGAGGTGTGTTGAGTAGTTGTGGGGGTGGAGTATTCTCTTCGCCGACACGTCGGTGTGGCGGTCCTTGGCCGACACCGCAGGCATTGTTTAAATGCTTTTGTTATCGCCTGGGCCCCTGCCCGGGCTCTGCTGCTGTTCCAGCGCCTGGCCCTGCAGGCTGGACGCAGCCTGTCCCACCTCCGTCGCGTCGTCGTTTCGCTCTTCTTTTGGGACTTGGCCCCCACGTGCGGGCCTCGCCACGTTCTGAGTTCTGAGTTTGAGTCCTCCTCTTCCGCCTCCTCTTCCTCCTCCTCCTTCGCCTCCTTCCCCGCGCCGCGGCTGAGGCGCCGCCGCCGACGCCTTCGCTGCGCCGCCGCCCCCCCCCCTCCCCGCCGGGGGGGCCGCCCGGGGCGCCGCACCGGCAGCCCCCCGCGGCTCCCAGAGCCCTGTCGTCGTCGAGGCGCCGCCTGTGCGCCAGGCTGGCCAGCGGCCGCCGCAGCGGCCACGCCTCCCCCCCGCCTCGGTCCGTCTCCTTTTCCTCCTCCTCCTCCTCCTCCTCCTCTTTCTCCTCCTCCTCCTCCTCCTCCTCCTCCTCCTCTCCTCCTCCTCCTTCCTCCTCCTCCTCCTCCTCCTCCTCCTCCTCCTCTTCCTCCTCCTCCCCACCCAGGCTCAGATGTCCAGTATGTGTACTGGTGATTTTGAATCTTATTTTAATAAAACGGCCGATTTCTATGCTGGCGAGGCCGCAGAGGCTGGCCAGGTGTCAGACGACCAGGCCCGCACAACGTTCTCGTGCGATGAGCGGGCTTTCAAGGTTTTAGGCCGTCTGCTTGCTGTCCAGAGAGAAGTCGTGTTCACTTCCGATCCCGAAAGTGTCAATCGAGCGCCTCGTGTGCGTAGTTCGAGGCGCTCGCTTGATCAAAGATGGTGTAGGCTTCGGGATGCAGGACACCAGTGTTTGGATTCACTGCTTGCGCAGCTTCAGTCGGAGAAGAGCTCTTTCAGAGTTCTGGCCGTGCGTCTGCAAACCCCGAGCTGAGATTCAGCAAAGAATTCTGGCTCTTCCTCCGAGAGAGCGGGCACCTGACCCGCAGAGTAGGGAGCCTTCTCCTCTTCCTGGTGACTTGGGGCCTCGGGAGGCGGGAGTGGGTGGGGGTCTGGATCATCTTGTGGCCGAACAATGCCATCTCACACACCACCTGTCCACTTACCGTGGTGTGTTATTTTGTACAACCTGCGGCTGCCACTGTGTAGAGAGCCCGCGCTCCCTGAAAGAGGAGTGCAAGCCCCCCACCAGAGCAGGGCGTGATGTTCTCAGCAGGTTGACCTCCCCCGCGCGCAGGAGGTGGCCGCCGGGCGGGCCGCGGGGGAGCTCGCGGCCTCCGAGCTGAGGGCCAGGGACGCGCTGTGCGCCCAGCGCCTGCAGGCGGGCGCCCGCCGTGCGCCGCCCCAGGAGGAGGACGAATTGGAGGAGGAGGAGGAGGAGGAGGAGGAGGAGGAAAGGTAGGAGGAGGAGGGGGAGGAGGAGGAAAGGTAGGAGGAGGAGGAGGAGGAGGGCGAAAAAGGGGCGGAGGAGGAGGAGGAGGAGGAGGAAAAGGATAATGAAAAGGAGAGGTACATGAGAAGGAAAAGGAGGAGGCGGAGGAGGAGGAGGAGGAGGAGGAGGGCGAGGAGGAGGGCGAGGAGGGGGCGAGGAGGAGGAGGAGGGGGGAGGAGGAGGAGGAGGAGGGGAGGAGGAGGAGGAGGAGGAGGAGGAGGAGGAGGAGGAGGGGGGGAGGAGGAGGAGGAGGAGGCGGACCAGTGTAAACATTGGAAGAATCTCTCCCTCCAAGCTCAACCTTAGAGGCCCCTACAACGGTTCATTTCCATTGTGGGAACTGCCTGGTTGGAAGACAACCGTTTGAAGACGCTGAAGCATACCAAAACAATGTTCTTGGGATTCCAACGCCACGGATCGAGGTGAAGGAGGAGGAGGAGGAGGAGGAGGGCGCTGGCGGCGGCGAAGCCCCCCCGGCCCAGCGCCCGCCGTGCGCATTGAGCGGCTGACGTCGGAAGCTTTTGGCCCCGGGCCTTCACTAAAATCAGGACGGAGGTTGGTTTTTTCCGTTTTCGGCCTCCAGAGTCCCTCGCCGGTTCCAGAGGCCTTCGCTGGGCTCTAAAACAAATCCACGCGGAGTTTTTCTCGCAGTTTTGAGCCTCTGTAGAGGCCCTCACCGAGCCTTGGGACCGTCAAAGAACGACCCGGGAGGAAAAACCGGTCCTGGGGAACGAGTCGAGGACCCGGGGGACCCCGTAGTTGACAAAGGCACGACGTCGGATCTCTGGGCCCGCGTCGCCGCCGCCGTCGTCGCGTGTCGTCGCCGCGGAGCCCACTTCGGCCACGTGCACCCCACGCCTTCCTCGGAACGCGGCTGGGATTCTTACCGCTTCGACTAAGACACAGTCGTCACCCCCGTCGTCTCGTCCACGTTCTTGCGCGGGCCGCTGGGCCATCACGGCGCCCGTGGCGCGTCAGAGCCCGCCGGCGGCAGCTGAGGGACACATAGACTGCTCATCCTTTGTGCTGGGATTTGGCATGTCAGCCCCCACCTTGCAGTTGTCAGAGGCGTGCGTTCACTATTGGCAAGTGTGCGGCCGACAGTGCGTTGAGATACCACGCGATCTCAAGCATGAGTGCACCACCTCCGAAAGCAGTGGAGGGTGTGATTTCGCAGCTCCGCCGAGCGGATGTCGACTTTTTCGAGGTCAGGTGCTCTTTGAAGCTACGTGCCCCGCCTAGGAGTAGGCACGCACGCCTGATAGCGCAATAGAACAGAATAGAGTCCCCTGCCTCTGTCTTCTTATTGCTGTGTTGTGCGTGGGTGGTCTTACTACTAGTATGACTAGTAGTAGTAGTAGTAGTAGTAGTAGTAGTAGTAGTAGTAGTAGTAGTAGTAGTAGTAGTAGTCGTAGTCGTAGTCGTAGTCGTAGTCGTAGTCGTAGTCGTAGTCGTAGTCGTAGTCGTAGTCGTAGTCGTAGTCGTAGTAGTAGTAGTAGTAGTAGTAGTAGTAGTAGTAGTAGTAGTAGTAGTAGTAGTAGTAGTAGTAGTAGTAGTAGTAGTAGTA